TTGCCTTTTCTGGTAAATAAAAATATCTTAAGACTTTTGTCGTTGCTAGCGTTGTTGGTAAAATTTTGCATATATTTTTGGCTCAGAAAACTAGTAATATTGTTGTTATTTGTTGTTGTTGTTTTTTTTGTATATATATATATATTTTTTTTTTTTTTTTTTTTTTTTTTGCTCTTTTAATAAATGTTATGTAGTCATGTTCAAAGAATGCTGTCAGGTCCGGAGTATTGCTTGAACGTAGTTCAACATTATTATAAAAATGTTTTCATTTAAAGTTTTTCTTGAACAAAAAATTCTATTTTTATAAAACACTTGCTTGCATTTATTTTCCTTTAATTTTTGCAAGCAGAGCTTTTCAAACTCTAAGCAAACGCATTTATAAATGCGACATACGCACTCACTTATACTTATATACAATTTAGTTTAGTAATATATAGCAATTATTTTTAATTAACAATAAGTCGTAACTATGTGCAGATATAAATGATTTTTACAATGTTTTAATTAATTAATTAAATATTTGAAGAATTTCTAGGTTAGTTTCTCATTTAATTCTTTCATATAAAGATGTATTTCTTTAATCTCATCTCTGTGTTTTTTTTTTCTTTTTCGCATGTGTTTTATTTACTCTTTCTTTCATTTATTAATTTCACTACAAATTTTCACTTATACACGTTTTTTTTGTTTGTGTTATGTTTTTTTTTTTCTTTTTTTTAATACATCGATTGCTTAATTCTCGCTTTAATTTCGTTGATTTTCCGTTGACGTGTCAATTTTGTTGAAATCGCGATCTCAACTGATCGCTCTGAGTTTAAGCCATGGTTAATAAAAGCCATTTAAACTATTTTAAGCAAACTCATACTCTCCATTCTTAATCTTTTTCTCACTCTCCTTTTTCTTTCTCACTCTTCTCTCTAAATTTTATTTTGTTTTCTTTCTTTTCAGGCTCTCTCGCCCTGACTCGTTTGTACGATATATAGCATGAAGTTATGTTAATTGAATTTTACGTTGCGCTATTTTTCATCAAATTTACAATTCACTTAGCTCGTTGAAGTATTTCACATTTATTGCCATATCTCTCTGAGCAACATCGTCGAGTTATAGCCAATCACCAAGCAGTCACAAGTATTTTTTCTAGGTTTCGCTGTGCTGCGACTAACGGTATTGATATTTATTGTCACTATTTTTCTATACTCACTACAGTTCGGATTACCAAATACACTACGTGGAAAAGTACCTTAAAAGGTCGCGTATGTGTGAGCAAAGAAATGGAGGTCATTTGCCCGATGTGCTCTTTCACACATAACCCTATATTATATATCTTATGATAAGCTACATGGAAAAAAAGGGATAAACGAGTACGTATGTGTCAGCAAGGCCCTAAAGGATATTTATCTGATGTGCTATTCTACACGTAACCTTATCCTATGTATATTAGGATGAAATAAACAAACAACAAATAAAAAATAACTCTGTCTTCTGTTTAATTCAAAGCTTACATAAATTTTAGAACACTCTTCTAGCTCTATGGCTGCATAGCTGGCGAGCGGTTGCCGTGCCCCTTGGTTTAGTTAATAAAGTATCAGTTAGTATCGATTAGCGGACAGAAGTTTTTTACGTCCATCTTTAGTATATATTTTCAAGATTCAAGTCTTTCTAATGCCTTGACGTACCCTTTGGAGGCCACATAGCGTACACATAGATTCTTACTGAGTGTTAATAGTAAACTAGATTTAGCCATATCTACGTATCAAGTTGTTTGATTCCTGTTAAAGTCATGATTGAATTTTCGAAACTTGAACTAAAAGAAGAAGAAAAGTGTTCTTAAACGTTTCCATTTTACTTGAATCAAACTCAAAAATTAGCAAAATTGATCACCAAATCAATTCATGGAATTTCCCGTCTCTTTCACCGTTTTTTTTTTTTACGCCATGCCATGCAAAATATTGCAATAAATTGTTGATATATTCATTTCTTATTCTAGATGGTTTTCAAGAAATATTCCAAGCGACTTGTACGTAAATTTTCAGTATTTATGAATTTTGCTTTGCGGTTTGAGTTTAGGAAGATCTTTTACAATCGATCGTTTATCGTAATGAATTGTTGCATCATAAAAGCTTTTTGCCTTCACTGAAAGATGTACTCTTTCCTTTGATTATCCTTTCACTTCGTAAATGCGCATTGGAAATACCAGGAATAATTTTTAGTTTTAATACCATATCAGTTCGACCGTCTCTTGCCTGTGGTTGTAACGATATAGCAAAAATCGGGATAAGATCACAACATTTGAGGTGTGAATTCTTACGTACTGATCACTAGTTCGATTTAAACATGGCTGCAATCTGCCCTAAAACACGGTCGCAATTAACAAGAGATAAAACGAATTTTTTGATCATTAGTTTGTGGCAGTGGGCATTAAATATTCGGGGCCCCAACCATCCTTTAGAAATCTAAAAGTGTCTCTGCTTAGCTCCCGTTGGAACGGATATCGTGCATATATGATCGATCTTATATAGTATCATACATAAATCTGCATAAATAACTCCACTCAACTGAGGAATATTTGAAATTACTAACTTGCATATATAACCGAAATTGTTGAAGTTTACAGGGAACATCTCTGCTTATATTTACTTCAATGGAGAAAAGAACTAATTGGTTGAGCAAAAAAAAACGACATTATGGGGGGTAAGTAATTAAAGCAATTCAAAGACTTACGTTACTCAAAATAAACCATCCTATCATTCAAGGAGAAAGTCCTCGAATTAGAAAATCGATTTGGTCACTGTGTTAAGGTCAAGTTTTTAGGTGATATAAATATGTCAAATATTTCTCTGTATACAAAGAAGTGTCAAGAAATACTTGAAAAGCGAAAAAGCCTATAAACCAACGGTTCCAAAATAAACTCAAAAGCATATGTTCTGCTTATATATTATTTACTTAACATTTTTCGTATGTATTTGCTTCTTTGAAACACCACCAGTACCTTAAATATATGAGACTTTGGCATTATTGATACCTTGACTCGAGATCAAATTTATGGCATTTGAAATGGTTTCCCTAATTCGACTTAAGATCTCAATAAAGAAATATTTTAATTGTTTCCTCTTTTTCTGTCTCTCTCCCTCTCTTTCTTCCTCTTTTGTTCTCCTGCTCTCTCTCCTGCTCTCTCTTTGCACATTCCGAGAGAACATAAACCTTTTTTTAGTGCACACCTGTTTTTTGCCTGTTACCAGTGATGTCAACTTGTTTCATTTTTACAAAACAAGCCAAGAATAAATTATTAAATTAATTTATTATATTAATTTTACTGAATTCTTTGCCTTGTTTGAAATTTAAAATAAATTTCTATAAAAATAAGAAATAAGAATATATAACCAAAAAGTTTCTGTTAGTTTTAGTTTCTAGAGAAAGAGCAAAGAGCGCATGAAGCGAACTTCTCTCCTGAGGTTGAATAAGCATTTACAACAAGAAATGATCGGATTCTTGTTCTTCAAAACAATATTTATTCTGACAAGTTTGCAAGATTTTTATTTTTATTCTATAACTTTTCAAAATCAGAATAAAAGTAATATATATATGTGCATCCTTTGATCTTTAAATATTTCCTTTGGAAATATTTTCATATAAAATAAGAAAGTTTATCCCATACTACCTATAGTTTTTAAACTTTTACATATAAACGCAGTTTGAATAGTGGAGCATATTATAGTAAAATGGTAGATGTCTTTGCTTTAATACAAAACGTATATAATAGAAATTATCTTCGTATGCCGTGCAGGGTGCTTAAGAGTAATTTATTATAGGAGCAACTTTAGTTTTTTTAGATTTAGGCTAACTTGAAAAATTAAAGAAATTAAGAAATTTTATATGAAAACATAGATTTATTAAAAAAAAAATTAAGAAACATTAGATACTAAATGTCCTGAAGTTTTCACTATTTTCCCGACTTTAACAGAGGTGTCCCTTTGTTAAAATGCCATTTAACACAGCTGAATGGCGTTACCATTGAACCATTTAACAGAGCTGACACGTTTTGACTATTTTTTTTGTTATTTCAAGCAACTTATTTAAACAATAACAACAAGTGATATTAAAGTGTTAACTTCGTTTAGAAATGGAATAAGGTTAATAAAGTCTAAATAACTTGGCTCTATCAAATTCAATTATTATGTGAGTTAATTAGATAGTAAAGAGAAAAATGAATATATTTAAGTATAAAAAATCGAAAGAGTTTTTTTTATAAAAATCAAAAAAATAAGTAAGTTATCAATAATAAAAATGTATGAATGAAAATTCATTCTTGCCTCCATCAAGAAGTGATTAAGTATCCTCTACACCAAGAGGGTTTAAGCGAATGTGTGCAGCACACGGAAATATTTGAGATATTCCCGCATTTTTTTTATATAGAATCACTTTCTGAATCGATCTAAGCTGGTATGTCCATCTGTCTGTTTTGTACAGGCCGGAATTTTTGAGATATTTCGGTGGAATTTGGCACACTGATGTGCTTTGGCCCATGGACGAATGTTATTGAAAATGTTTCGCATCAAACCACTCTTTCGATCGCTTTCCATAATACGCCTAATTCTGAATAGTCTTTATATGAATAATAGTCGGGTCGCGACCTGCTATAGTGTTTTTATTTGCTTTCTTTTATCGCTTGTAATAATGAGATAATTACATCACAGCCTGTCTAAAGTGGAGGTAAGTGTTTGAAATTTTGAAAGAAAACTAGTTGGTGAAGTGATGACCGATTGAAGACTAGTAAGGGAAGAGTTGAGTATACAGAAGCGAATGTAGAAAGTCGAATTTGAAGTGTAATCTAAAATATATTACGTAGTTCACGCAAAATATTACCGAAGTCCACAAATAGCACAGTGTTTAATTTACACTTTATGCGGATTTTATACAATTGTTGATAGTAACTTATGTTTATTTGAATCGGAAAGTCTTGAGACGAATTCACGCAATTATGAACTAATTATAACTTGACTTACCTGGTATTGTTTCGCCATTAAATGTAATCTGAACTGTATGAATACCCGGTTCATGTGGAGTAAAGCTAGCTATGAATCGTTGGCCACCTAGTGAACGTACTGATGAAGTAACTCGTCCACCGTTCACCAAGATTTCCAAATTGCCAGAACCAGCTTTGGAGCCATCTATTTCAAATTCGACCGGACGACCGATCGCTCCATTTGGTATATCTTGAACTCGTATAGCACGAGCGCCAGTAATACCCGTTATATTGTCAATGGGACGAAAGCGAGACAGAGAGCTATAACCGTAATTACCATTGACACCAGTAGACGAAGTGCTTTCGGTAAGAACTTGTTGACTTGATTCTTTAACAGTACGAGTATAGCCGCCAGATTTATCGGTGTAAGTATTATTCGAATGTGATTTAACAGTGATGGCACTGGGTCTGAAGGGATATCAAAACATTCATATAACACTTTTTTAAAGCATATTTTATCTAACTCACTTGTAGTGGTCGACATCATCTAAGGTGTCTTTAGACTCCTGACGTGGTCTTTGAAATTTTTGTTCGTTTAAGGAAAATTTATTATATTGGGTGTTACGTTGCGTTTCGTGATCGACTTCGGGACGATTATAACTCAAATCTGTATTTAATTGATTCTCGGTCATATTGGCTAACGATTCCAAAGAATTGTGTGAGAATAAATGTTTCGTTTTATTGATCACATCCCAACTGTCACGTCTGGCTGAAGCCGGTTTCGTAGACGATACTCTAACATTGGACGAATGATCAACGCGCGGTTCAGGTGAAGCGGTACGTCTCAAACGTTCAGCGGTAGTATATAACGAAGGGCTCGCTCTTATATTTGAGTCGGAAACATAATTCGAGGTCGACTTATATGTTGAAGATTTCTCTACTGTACGTGATTCGTAACCATTCTAAGAAATTGCAAAGAAGATGAGCATTTATAGGGATTGGTTAAAAATGTTAATATTTTCAATTACCTTGTTATGTAGAGTGCTGGGACTGTTCATGCGATGTGTAGCTGTAGTTATATAAGCACTATTAGGCGAGTAACGTTGCACTGGTGAGGCAGACATGTGACGTGGACTAGCACTTAAATTACGCACGGGGCTCTCGTACGGTATTGACGTTTTTATTGTCAACGGGCTATGGGTTCTTATTTCGCTGGACCTTATCTAGCAAGAACAAGAAAGACGGATAAGACGAAAATATGTTAAAATTTACAAAAAAAAAAAAATGTTTTTTTTTCTTTTTTTTTTTTAATATTTACATAAAAAAATTGTTAGTTTTGCATAAACAAATATTGAAAAAGCTAGAAAAGTAATGAAAAAATTTGTGTTTAGTTACATTGTGTGTAGGACTCGATGCTATGGTGTTCAGCCTAGCTGTTGTGTATGTTGTTGTAGTGTTGGCTGAACTTCTTATTGTGTTTCGTGTTTCATTCTCGTATGGAGGCCTCCGCCGCTGTAGCTGTTGCTGTTGCTGTTGCTGTGAGTGTTTTTGTTGTTCTACTTCTCTTGATAGCGGCGCCAATTTAAAATCACGTTCACATCTCTTATTGCCACCGTACAGTTCATTCTCTTTATCGTAATAGTAATCGCGATTCATTGACGATGCGTTGGAGGAGTTTTTCGAATCACGTCTTGTTGAGGTAAGCATATACAAATCGTTCGAGTTCAAATATTTAACAGTCGATGATGACGATGCAGGCGGTGGTGGTGGTGGTGGTAATGGTGAGTCATTATAATATTCACGCAACGGTAGCTGTGTTGGTGGCGGCGGCGGTGTTGATAATGCCTAAAAATGTGTGGGTTTTTGTGGTGTACAAAATGTAAACGTGTGTTTAATGATTTTAGTTTATTTTGAAAAAGAGAACGTGTTTCGCCAACAGTTTTCAATAAGTTTTAAGATTACAAAGAAGTGTTGAGTTGTATAACAAGAGTTTCAATAATTTTCTTATCTATTTCATAACACAAAGGTAAATGTAAATGACTCTTTGCGTAACGCGTAACGAATCACACTAGTTATCTTTGGAGAAAACCCTTAAGGACTTTTCATGGAACTGAATTAACGCAATGACTGCGGTTCTCATTGTTTTATTAACAAATGTCCTCAAAATTTGGCCCAGAATCCTTGCTCTTCCCATGAAAGAAACGCAAGTAATTCCTCATTTAATGTAAATTCACAGATTAGGTTAAGTAATTTTTGTCTGTTGCCCCCTCTAGTGTTTCTGCAAATACACATTGTTGTGATTAAATATTCACCGGGTTATTTTTGTTCATCGTACGATATTGTATTTGCATTCCGTCTGTGTCATTGTGTTAAAATCTCTTATCATGGCGTGCAACAACAAATTTCAATTTTCTTAATCTCCCTCTTTACTAATATAAACACAAACACACAGACACACACACACACACACACATACACACACACACATACAGGGATACAAATATGTGCGCGCATACATCCATGCATATACTCGGAATTTTAAATAGTTGCAGATGAACAAACGTGAACCTTACCTCGCTTTCCCTCTTGTAATAACTGGAGCTAGTGCGATAATCTGTGGCATCCTGTTTGGGTGAGTACTGTGGTGAGTATGAGCGTTGACGTTCTGTGGTGCCAATGCTTGTTGCAGTAACCCCAGCACCGGTGCTGTTATTGGCATTATGTTGATTGAGTAAATCCCTGCGGGAGAGTGACGATGTGGCGATATTGCGGTAATCATTGTGACGTGAGCTTGTTGTTGTTGTATAATGCATAGAAGGGCTGTCCGAGCGATGTTTATTTTCATACAGAGGACTGCTACGCGTTTTGCCAGATCTACCCTTGGTGCCCACGCGCATTATAAACGGCGAGCCTTTAACATCGTAGCCATTGAAATAAACGTAAACGCGATATTTGCCATTTTGACGAGGCATAAAAGTGACTCGAAATTTATTGTCAACAATTCTTTCCACCGAGCATACCAGGGAACGTTTATCATGCACAATGTCAACATGTAGTTCACCGGTTACACCAACACCGCGTGCGTCCACTTCAAAAGAGTGAGCACGTAAGGGCATTGCCCCATCTAAACCGTGCACAGATACACCAGAGGCGTCAAAAACGGAGCAGGTGAACGGTCCACCTTGTATATGGCGTCCCTGATAAGTGATAGCTATTTCCCAAATACCAGCTTCATCCGGTTTGAAAATAGCACTATGACCTTCTTCTACTTTTTTGAGAGGACAATTGTGTGAAATTCCTGTAGGTGAGACGGCTGTCACCAGGATATCCTCTGTTTTGGGAGCTCCAGTGGCATTGACTAAAACCTCAACTAAACTACCCAAAGCGCAGGGAGCCATACCAGGGGGAGCAACTTGAACGAAACGTGGTAAAACACGAAAGAAGTGTCCACCCAAGCTGTCATCACCGATTTCTACCACGATTTCATGCATGCCATACTTATCGGGCACGTACACTCCCTCGCCGTGAGCATTCAGGCGTATCGGTTGAGCGTGACCAGAAGGAGGTATTATAAAAGCCTTAACACTGCTAAGGCTTATTTCCCGGGTAAGTATGTCCACGCGAAAATGGGTCTATAATGAATTAGAAGCTGAGAACACATATAAAAGTAGAATGTGAAAGCCATTTATTTACCTGTTCCCCTACCCTCCCTGAAGTACTTTCCAATAACACGTTTATCATGTCCGAAAGTGGTGGTCTAGGGGGAACCCATTGCAGATGAGCCGCGTAAGCCATTATGCCCAAGTGCTCTACTTCCGGATTGGCCATATCCTTAGCTGATAGCACTGGTTGTACTCCCAATTTTAGACCAGCATCCAAGGCTTTACGTACATTGTTCTCGTAATGGAAGGGATCAGTGCTAAGTTTTTCAGGAGCTGGGGCTGGACCTCCTAAACCTTTAATAATTTCGCATAAAATGCGTCCGTCATTCCAATCCGTCTATATGAGGAATTTAAAAATAAATACTTGGTGTTAGTGGCACCATTTTTTCTCTTCTTTAACTTACCGTAAAATTTTTCACTGTTTCCCTTGTTTGTGTGTTAACCCATCTCATGGTGGCATTGTAGCCGGGGCCACCAGGTTTCATAAAATATGATAAATATGTCATACCCGATAGCTCATCTAACCACGGGGAGGCCAAATACTCTGGTTCAAGTACTTTTGGTACACCGAACTCGCTTTGTGCCAAATTCATAGCATTGGTGCAATTACGTACACTCTGACTAGGATCCATGGAACGCCAATGGGGATAAAGGCCAGGTTTACAATAATCCAAAAGGGCGCCCAAGTATACACCACTATTCCAATCCGTGGTCAAATTAGTGATTTTGCATTCAGGTAAAGCAGCTTGCAACCAAGCTAGCATCAGCTTACGTGGTGGAAATTTGCTACGGCCGATTTGATAGCGTACAATCAACGACCAAATTAGACCTAATATCAATTTCACATTGCCGTTGACAATATCCACGTTGCCGATATTCACGAGCTTAATGTGATCAGCCTCAATAGCATTTAGGGCGGTAGTGGCATTTTCCAAGTAATGATGTTGATTGGCTGGTCGACGATTCCAAGAAGGTTTCAGCGGTCTGGTTTGAAGACTTTCAACCAATGCGCATAGACATGTACCATCGCAGAAATCGATAGACCAATCGTGAACCTAAGCGAAAGATCTCTTAATAGACGAATTTTTCTTGATTATAGGATACTTGGAGATTAGAGAGAGAGTGTAGCAAGAAACCATGGACTTGCTTTCACACATAACTGAGAAACTAGGCACCTATGTGACCAGTTTGAATTTAATTCAAAACAATCCTTGAACGTAAAGTCCAGAGGCAAGGATGTAAAGTGCTTCGTCGTCAATTGATTCTTAAAAATCTCTCTCATATTGACACTGATTTTATCAATAAACTTATAAACGATATGGGAATGGGAGATGCGAACGCTCTGCTCTCTACACAATCCGACCATTCTATTTGACATTCAGGTTAAGCAGCGATGTCTATCTTTACGAAATTGAAACATTGCATTTAATGTATTGCTTGTACAATTTGGAAAAATTGGTGTTGCTGGATAAAATTGCGTACTAACCGCAAAACAATACATATACATATATATATATATTTATTTGTATACAATTATATATATATATATGTATATATAATACATATAGACCTCGACAAATATTTGTTATAGCAGTGTGGTTGTGGTCGAATACTAATTGATCAATTTTTATTTGTGTTTCATGCAAACATTTCCCAAAATGAAAATTAATTAACAACCGATACACAATCTCATATGTGATTACCTATAAATGTACAATGTATGCATGTATATATGTATTTGAAATCAATAAAGCCCTAAATGGGTGAAAATAAATACATTTACAAGAATAAACAATTAAGAATGTTCAAATAAATACAATTTCAATAACAAGAGTAACGGAACGCGGAGAACAGTGGGCGAGCATATAAGAATAATGAGTTAGTTGTTCGAAGAAATGTAGAAATAGATGCAAAACTTGTTTGTAATATTCTTTTATTTTAATGGCTATGTGGACGGACCGCAGCAGAGAGTTAATGAATATAACTCACATAATTAAAAGATTAAATGATTAATTAATGTGCGATGTGGTACGTTTTTGCTGAAATCTATGAATAGTGAACGCAAGATGTATGTAAAAAAAAAAATTCTAATTGCTTTGATTGCCATCAAGATTTCAACATAGATATTATTTGTAATGGGTTTGGAAGAAGCAAGTAAGACGGCAAGTTTTTCTCTTAGAGCGGAACCATATCAATGAATACGTTCCGAGCACGACACTCACATTATCACCTGCATATCTCAATAGTTTGTAAGTCTTTTCTCATCTTCTCTTCCTATTCGATATATTCTTATAAAAATTTCAATTCATTCAAATTCATGTACAGTTAAATCAGAAATCAATAATCAATGTAAAAATTTCATGTACAGTTAAACCAGAACAAATCGTATTTAATTGATCCCGCAGCGCTGTTTTTTTTAGGTGCAAAGCATTTTCGTTTGATTTTTGTTTTCTCTTTTTGAGGTTATATCGTTAAATTTATTTTTGTTTATTCTCATTTAAGAACTCTATAAAATCCATTATGGAGAAATCTTTATTTTTTTTCTTATTGTTCTTTAATTTTAATTTTCTTTATTTCGATCGCCTTTAGCAAACAATTAAATCGCGTTAATGGAAAAAGCGAATCGAAATACAGAGGTTATGATAATAAATATATGTGGGCTGTAATGACTTAAATTTATCGTTTTTGCCAAATCAAGTAACTTGAGTTAAGACCTATCACACGATCTAATGTCTTTTCATAAGCTATCAAAGAAGATGACGACTCTCTAGGGAATATCGCTTTTATCGATGCGGACAATTTTCACATCAATAGCTGAATTCGCGAAGGAAATTGTTGCATTTCGTTGACCCCCCAGGCTTGGTCTGTGTATCTAATACAAATGTGCAAAGCGAATTTATTTTTCAAGATAAAGGTAAAAAACTATTTATTTATAGCATTGGCTATCGCTAACCGCATATGAATTTCATGTTGATCTTTTGACCATTATCTCAACAACCAAGCTCGGGCAGACAATAAATAATGAAACTAGAGTTAACAACTAGGACGAAGATCTGGCGAAAAACAATATAAAGATTCGTCCACTATGCACTTAGTTAAGGTTTCCGTGCCGGATCTTGCAACATGAGGTACAGCACTTATATGGCTTAGTGATAAATGTGCTTACATCAGCTGCGATTGATAACGTTCTCAGAGGATAGCTTCAAGTTAGAACCTCAACTCTCAGAGGATAGTTAGATAGTGCCGTAAATATTCGACATTATGGTTGTTGTTAATTACGCTCCTGAGCTGCATCACTACTTTCGTAACGAATCTATTATTCTTCGAGTAGAGCAGGATTTTTACCAAGTTAGCCAGCTATACGTAGCCCCCATTTTGGTCTTTGCTAAAAGATTGTGACTTTGTTCTCTCTCTCTCTCTCTGCTAAGGTAATTGTTAATTGAACGGTATATTGAAAGAATAACAAAATGATGAGAAAAACTAAACAAATATGGAAAATACAAAAATAAATAAAAAAACAAATCACACTTGATATGATAAAAAATTAAAAAAGGAATTCATTGTTACTATTTACCACATGCTGTATGTATACTATTGGTGAAAAGTTACTATACACAAAGTGTGTTTTAAGGAATTTACTAAAGGCACAGTTTAGCGTTAATTTAATGTCTTATGTATATGGAGAGGGCATATTTGGAGCGCGTTTGGCGGTGATAAAAAAAGGGATTTACCAATGGAATTAGCTTTTGCTGATAGGTTCAAATGCCTTCAACACGTATCTACAAACTGCGGTTAAGTAGTGACTCTGAAAATTGTTACAAGTCATTGTGTTTTCTTTCAGTGCTTTTACTATACTAACTTAGTTTGTTTGGTTTTGTGATCGTAAATAAAGGCTTAGTTTCTTTTATATCTGATTGTTTCCTAGCATTTTTTATTTTTGATTCTCATTTTATTTGTTTGTTGTAAAAACACTCTCTAGCAAAGGCGCGAACCTTAAAAACATAGGCTGTCTAGGTGGGCTACTTTCACTTCGGTGCACATTTGACTTTTTTGTGTTACAAAATTTTACTTACATTTAAAACTAGCTTCGAAAAAGTGTTCTACGTACGCTTTATGTGCAGTTCCTATACTGTTCCTTAAGGCTTAGAGATGGTATTTTCACATAGTGGAGCCAATGCTCGCAGACAAAGTAACCTCGTCTCTTAGAAGAAGTAATGAGGACTTATATGCTCCTCGGAAAAGTGCTTGCATCTATATCGGTCAGCGACATCTATTGGCGAAAATGTTAAAGTAATGCGAAGTATCAATGGACACAACGATTAAATTCGATGATTTTGACCTTTCTCTACAGTTTACCCATTTACTTCATTTAATACTATTGAGTTCTTTAGTGGACACAGAAGCTCATCATGGAACGCTCAAAACCGCATTATCGAAATTTATTACATTTTTTGTTTGATTTGAAGAAATCTACCGCCGAAATCCATCAAACACTTTCAGAAGCTTATGATGATGCTGCTTCATCATATTTCACGGCTCGAAAGCAGTGACTTTAATGTCAATAGCAAAAAAAGGCCTGGAGGGTCGAAAAAGTTCGAAGAAAACGAATTGCAAGACTTATTGAACGCAAACCCAGCTCAAGCTATCAACAGCTTAGGAGTAGATAAATAAACTGTTTCTTGACGTTTACATGCGATAGGAAAGGTCGAAAAGGAGGCAAAGTGTCTATCATACGAGTCGACTGAAAATGTCATGTCGAAGCGTTTCAACCGATCGCGGTGTCATACAAAAAAAAAAAAGAAGATAAACAGGCTACGTTTCTCTTGCATTTCTGAGAAAACTTAAACAACGAATTGATGAGTCCTTCAAAGTGCTCACTATTTTTTTTTATGTCATTGCCCAATATAAAGTTTATATTTTGTTATTTAACAGGGTAGGAGTACCTTTTTGATTGATTATATTTGTCTGTCCGTGGATGCTTTTTACGCTCGATCTCTTATAAATGCAAATGTGAGATGGATAAAATGCCATGAAAGGACCTCAAAGTTTTTATAGCTGAGAACAAGTGATGAACACATGAAAAGCTTTTAGATCCAGGAAGATAAGTAAGGTAATCTGATGCACTACTCATGACATCATAAAGAAATTCTTAGAATAACGTATTGCTGGCAATGATCATATGATTTGATATCATTTTCGAATTTTCTCCTTTTGAACTTATCGGACTTATTGAAGTGCGTACAAATAAACTCAGTGTAATGGAGGAACAAAAAAAAAGAAGTTCAATTCCATATGGCACAAAATTTTAATGTGAAAAGTTTTTGGATAAATTGAAATAAAGTTAAAAAAGACTACAAGTGCCGGTAATCATGGTCGCGGCTGTTTCTTTTTTTCGCAAAATTTTTATCAAACATAGTATACAAAGTGTTAATGTACAACAAGTTTTCGATGAAAATATTCAAATTGCAACTCATTCGTATATTGTGTGTTCACCTTTAAGAGGTAAAGTGTTAAAAAGCGAACAAATGAAATGAAAACCGTGTGAAAATTTAAGTGTCTTTGCATGAACCGAGCTTTTGCTATTTGATTTGATTAAAGCTGTAGTTGATTTTTAAAAATTCCCTTCCCAACTAAGCGATCAAGAGAAAGAAAAAACTGTTTTTGGCAAACTTGAATATAAAAATTGACAACAACAACAACAACAACAATAACAGGAAAAATAAATAATGCATACTTGTATGCCATACATAGTAATAATCATAAGAAATAATTCCCTTTGAAATATGTCAAGTCAATGGTACGTCATTAAAATCCAGTATTTTATAGAGGAAAAGCAGATATCCATACATACATACATTAATATAAATATTTTCACGCAAGCATATGCATCATGTATTAATTTGTAACATTTTTATAATAATGATTTCCCATTTGTCTTGTGTGTGTGTTTGTTTCTCATCATACAAATACACAGATAGATATACAAGAAGTGAACGAAAGAAAATACTTATCATTAACAACGCTACATAGCTTACATAGACATAAGACGTTTACG